TGCCACTGCTGTGGATTTACAATTGCTTTTTCTGTGTGGGCTTTGCTGCCATATGGCTCTGTAATTCTCTCTTGCTCACCACAGCTCTGCCCACTCTTCTAGTATCCATGGCATTATTGAACAATACATCTCTTCATTCTCTGAAGAGAAAGTTAGGTGTTTTGACTATTATTCACAAATCCAGTGTTTTTATTACACAGACCTGAAGGCTTAATTAAAGCAATGCCAATTCTTTTGTACTTTGTTGTCATTCATCACCCAAAGTATGTGGAAAATTTTGCTCTCTCTGCCCCTCCCTACCTGGTCTCCAAAACTCTAATTAATGGGCAAAAAGACAACCCCAAATGAGCCATCTCTGCAAAGCAGATGCTTCAACAAAGCATATTCTTAATTATATCAGAAATGATTTGTTTATCTGTTCTGAGAATGTTCACTCAATATGATGTCCCATGAAATAACAAATATGCTCTGTAGTCCATTTGGGCTCACACTTCAAAGTCCATTGGTACATTTACCTTGTGATGTCAGGGTGCTGTAGGTAGGCAGATTGGTTTATCTGCCCCTAGAATTTGGAACTTCTCTCAAGTACTGTAGGACCCAGAGTAGAAGTCAGAGATGGCGATGAAAGGAAGAGGACTTCAACTGGATTTTTCTCCCATTTTTCTACCTGTGTTTTATCATCCCTCTCTATGTTTGCTGCATATACTCAAATGGCATTTCTCCTGCAAAGACCCTCAACCGAAACATAGCAGTATCAGACACACAGGCACATGTTTTTGCCAACCTGAAACATCTGGTATTCTAAAGGAAGTGGCAAACAACACCATTCTCAATCTTCACATCCTTTTGCCCTTCATCCTCCTAGATGAAAGGACAGGATAATACACGGTTTTAATACTACCCAGTAGAAAAATGAAGACTATTAATATATATTAGAGAACTTCTTGTGGTCATTTGGTCACCTAATGCAAACTGTTCACTAGGCAGTGAAAATCCTATTAAGCCAAGAGTATCCTGCCTGAAGGCCATAGAATCAAAAAGCTAAACTCTTATATTCACAGTTGCCAGATGTCAACTGGTAGCTTCTTTTGCTTTTGTCTTTGTTGCAATGTGAAGTGCCTCACACAGAAAACCAGGATGGCATATGAATAATAAATATTGATGAGTAACAGCTGGAGTTTCTCAGGGTGCCCCTGTTCTCTTTAGTGAAATGTTTCTCTGTATAATTTACTAGGTATCTCTCATTAAAGTGGAGATAGTATATACAATTACAGTTAACAAAACGATGCCTCTGAACAAAAAGGGTCACTGTGTTGCCTGGCAACTCTTAGTCCATCTAAAACTAAGTGCTGCTATTGCAGACCTGTGATAATTTGTGCTGTTTGTGAGCAAAGGCAGCTCTGGAACTTTGCCCACAAGCGAGACCTTTGGCTATCAGCAGGAGAAACTCTTCCATAACTGTGCTCTGCATGATCTCAGCCCAGTCTGCAGCCTCAGTGCATCTTGCACCTAACTGGTGTTTTGCTGCCCATCCAGTGGTATGAAGTGGGAGTAAATCCTGAATTCTCTGTACCTGTGAGGCAACATCAGATGTAAAGTAGCTCTAGAGATAACACAACTGCTATGACTTTGCTCTGAAAACTGTTCCCATTAGCAAGGAGCAGCATCAGTCTCTGAGAAAGAGGCTTAGGGGTAATTTCTGTGCATATATTAGTATGCTTGTTTATTAGGTTCAGTGGTGGAGGAACATTATGGACTTTTTCTTATGATATAATGTCACTATTAGCTGTGAGAACCACTAAGCCTATTACAAGGGACATTTCATGCCATTGTGTTTGCTAAAAAATTTTTCATGCTTGCAAGAACAAGAATATATACCAAATTATTTTTAGAGTAGCAATTTTCTCCATGTGGACTTAATTAGAAAATGAATAAAGAAAAAGTAGATTTTATTTTTTTTGCTTTCTTTCTATGAGCTCAAGTTTCAGAAAATAAATTGCATAAATGTTACTGCCTTGATAGCCTTTAAAATGATAATAATGATAACAATGAAATCTTGTTCTCAAAAGGCCAGGCAGGCATTTGATGTAAATAGACTCAGCTTTATGGAAGCTCATGGATTTCAGCAAATTGATGCCAATTTAGACTCTGCCCTGACCTTTCTTTCAGGGATACAAATGTGCCCTGGTGACAGCTCCAGATTTTGAAAACAAAAACAGCAGAGTTCTTTTAAGATGCACTTAAAGAATAACTGAACCTTGATTAGAGGAAAACTCAATGACAGAAAGTCTATAATGTCTGATTTTAGGAGTGTGTGAGGGGGTAACAGTGAATCATATTTCCTTGAAGGAAGAGTTTATTTTGGTGGAATTGCTCATGGTTTTAGGAACTTTTTTTCCAATGGAGGTTACTTTGTCAGAATTGGATTGTGTAATAAAAATCAGGATAAATTTTTTGAATGACAGATGATGAAAGCTCCTTTCAAGTCAACATACATACCTAATCACTTATATGCTAATTTTTCTAGGCGTATCAGTGATGGAAAGCTTAAGAAAAACCTCTCAAAATTCACATATGCTGAGGAGATTGCACTGAGGAGATGGGTTCTGTTTTTAGGAATTCCTCTTCTGCTCCCTCCTACCTGTGGCACGCACCCAAAGTCTGTTTCTCTGTCAGAATTACACACCTAAATTGGGTTTTTCTGCATGAAAAACAGAGTGGGATTACACTGTATCCACATGCTAAGTAATCTCTCATCTTGAAGTATTTGAGAGGAGTTCTGAATGGCAAAGCTGCGTGTTGCTCCTCTTTGTGAACTGCCTTCACAGAGCAACATAATCGTCTGTCTTTCTCCTATCCACTTTGTTTTTCTTTCCTGAAGCAAAAAAACCTCTTTATTTCCTTGCTTATTACTTCTGGGATTTTCTGCCCCTATCTTCTCCTCTTATTAATATAACACTTCTTGTTTGTTCCTCCTTTCCAGAGAAAGTGAGTACTGAAGCTATTAAGTGCTCTGTATTTATAGCCTTGGATAACTCTCTGTTAATCACAGAATCATAGAATCGTGTGGTTTAGAAGGGACCTTTCAGAGGTGTCCCCCTGCTACAGGCAGAGACACCTACCACTAGAGCAAGTTGCTCAAAGCCCTAATGGGGTAACAATTGCCTGATAACCCAGCCCTGTGCTTTGCAAGTTGGTTTGGGAATAGCAGCCAGAGTGACTGTGAAATTTCTCCTATGGATCACATTTCCAGTAGATGTGCTGTCACTGTGCAGCTGGAGAGGTGCAGTCATCAGTAAGGTTTATTGTGCTAATCATTCTTGTGCCACAGAGTAGGAGGCAAGAACACCCAGGTACAGGCTTACCAATCAAATGCTCTCTGATTCCCCACATGATCTAGGAGTTAGCAAGGACAGAGTGTAAATCAAATAATATATACCACAAAGTAACTGATTCTTAGCTCTCAAGTTATAAATATAAAACCTTCAAAGTTGTGTTTGATGGGAAGAACAAAAGAAAAACAATGATATTAATAACAGAAAAAAGCAGCAATGAGATGTATTGCAGAGTAGGTAATTTCAGAATCAATTAGAAGATTCTCTATTTTGAGAGATACAATAATTACTGCGTGTTTTGGATTCGTGAGTGACTTGAAAGTTCTGGGGTCTGGTGTAGAGATGTGTTTGCTGCAGGACTATAAGATCAAGCAAGACTTTCTAAGGAAAATAGTGAAACAAAATAAGGAATATTAAAAGAGAAACAAATGTTGTACCTGGGTAGATAAACTACAACATGAAGAGTGGCATCAAAAGAAGAAATATAAAGGGCCTGCATCTCTCTATCAGTAGATATAGTCTTACTTTACCTGAATGTAACTCTGCTCATTCTAACTCTGTTGTGAAGGGAAGGGAAGGGAAGGGAAGGGAAGGGAAGGGAAGGGAAGGGAAGGGAAGGGAAGGGAAGGGAAGGGAAGGGAAGGGAAGGGAAGGGAAGGGAAGGGAAGGGAAGGGAAGGGAAGGGCAGGGCAGGGCAGGGCAGGGCAGGGCAGGGCAGGGAAGAGAAGAGAAGAGAAGAGAAGAGAAGAGAAGAGAAGAGAAGAGAAGAGAAGAGAAGAGAAGAGAAGAGAAGAGAAGAGAAGAGAAGAGAAGAGAAGAGAAGAGAAGAGAAGAGAAGAGAAGAGAAGAGAAGAGAAGAGAAGAGAAGAGAAGAGAAGAGAAGGTCACTGCATTTGTACATATGAATATAATTAAACAAAACAGATTCAATTGTGAATTTAATTACACATCAAGTGCATGTTAAGTGGTTGTAACAATGTTATGAAAATATCTGTGATAAACTCATTCACATTACATTCTGTTGCTAATTCAATTTTCATCCACAAGCCCAAAATGTGGGCTTTTGTTCTGTTACTACAGATACATACATATCAAAGACAGTGTCTAATTTAAATAATGTCTAATATAAATATATAAAACAGTTTAAAGGAAGATGAATTTCGTAGTTCTTCCAATAATTCAATATCAAAATTTCTTTCTTCTGATATTTATAGCCATGAATGAGAACTACTGCATTAAAAACTTGAAGCTGAAAATGAAAAAAATAAACATGAAGAAAATTTTGTCAAAATCTAGGAAATATATAGAAAAAGAAAATGTTCTCCCCGCCTGAATCCTCTGCTTCTCATCAATTATCACAGGAGTATTACTTCACAGCTAAAATCATGTTACTAATTAAAATGTTTATAAATTCTTAAAATTGGTCTAAGCATTTACTCTTTGATTCTCTGCACTATGTGAACAACAATCCACATCTCTTCCTATCTTGGATTTTTATTCCACGGTGGTAAAAGCTCTGGAAATTGTGTTCTAAGGATCTAGTTAGTTTTAGAATGTACAGTTTAGGGATCTGTTCACATGGCATAAAAATTTTGTAAGAATATTCAATTTTGCCAAGAGATAATAACTTTATATTTGTTTCACTTTTTTTTTCTAGTATTCAAAGCTGGAGTAAGGGTCAACAACTGGATATAATTAAGCAAGCAAGCTACCACTGAGCAGTCAAGAGCAGTGCATCATTGTTCTCTGAAAAGTAAGTCAAATTTTTGTGCATGTTGTTACATGAACATTATCTTTATGTGAGGTAAATGTAGAAGAAAGGACTGCAGAGTAGGTGTATTTGTGTGGGAAGTAGCTGACATCAGTAAACTCTTTACCTGAGATAACTTTTCTAATGAATGCTGGTCATACCATTAGATTCATTGTAGAAACCCATCTGCAGTCTCAGTATTGGAAAAGTTGTAGTAACAATGTAGTACCATTATTAAGTTGTTGTTGCTGACCTTGCCAGTTTCCCTGCTGACTGATGACTTTGTGTTTTGCAGTACTTATGGTTGGTTAAATAAAAGTGATTTGTGTACTGTTCATGGATAGGACTCTTTGAGGAAAAGGTGAAAATACTTCTCATGTCAATGTACGGTTCTGGCTTTGTAGTAGCTAAGTATAATACATCACCTGGTTTGAAGGAAGAACAAATTTTGAAAGGTTTCATTTGAACTTGAACTTCTTAACATCATTACCTAAAAAAATCCAATGACTTACCAGGATAGCAACAAGTGGCTCATTTCTGAACCAAGAAAAATACTGGGAAGCCAGTTCAGATGCAAGAAAACCGAGGCTTTGAATTTTCTTTTACGATTAACAATAGAAACCGTTCCAGGAGAACGAACATCTTAAAACCAGAAACAGAAGTGGTACATTGGAAGTCATTTTTAGAAAAACCCTGGTAATGCAAGGCTGTGGTCTCTGGTGAGCTATGTGGCTTTGGGAAGGGCCACCCATGGGACTGCACTCATTTCCCAGGGGACTGAGTGGAGGCTGACAAACTGGTGCCAGGGTCCTTAGAGCTGCAGCCTCACTCCAGCAAGCCACCCACCAGCTGGCTTGCAGAGGGATGCAATGTAGCCCCTAGCCAGAGTGGCCAAAGTGGCCTCCTAGGAACAAAGTGTGGGGGATCTCCATACTTTGTCAGTGTTGCCTTTATGTCTTCTAACATTTCACTTTGTTCAAATTCATCACAAAAGATCCAAACCTTCCAGAAAATAGATTGGAGGGGCAGCAACAGGTGAATTTACCCAATGATCTGGTAAAACAGTTAATTGCTTTTGTAATAAGATCAAGAGGACAGAGTTGTCCTCATAGCTCAGTGAAATGAAGAGGATCATTGTCGTATGCTTCTGGCTGACTGCTAATGCCTTTAGATCATTCTGATCTAACTTCTTCTTAATTTATAATCCTTCTTCTTCATCTCTGTCTTGATGGATGAGTTGTCCCATGCCTTACCTCAGTTATGCCCTTAGGTGATGACTGATCTAGCTACCCTGATAATGAAAGCCAGTCATGCTGCTTTCTTTAAAATCAATGTACAAGGAGTTGCCTGCTTTTGCTTTCCCTCCTGAAAGGCTATTTGCTAGAGCAAAAGAACTAGCAGTGCAAGCAGTGAGTGTTCCCACTGTTTTTAAAATATACCTAAAATTTCAGACCTAAAAGAAAATTCTTTGTGTACTGATTACATTTTTGAAACTTTCTGTGCATATTTTTTATTTGAAGCACATGGTGAACATTCACTATTTTTTAAAAAATTGCACATTTAGAAGGTTAGATAGGAAATATGTACTGTCAATGAAAACAGAAAAGAATACCAACAGAGATAATGCCCTTCAGTATCTTGGAGAAAAAATAGGAAAAACGTGCATTTTACATAGGCAGAATAAAATAAGGTACTACTATGTAGTAGAATGTCTCTTCCTCACCTTTGAGAATATAATTCATCAAACTTTTGAAATTACGTTGCCAAAATTGTTTCTTTTTGACCACCTGTCTTAAATCGTTTCTCTAATGTGAAAATGTGCTTTCCTATCATTTGATTGTGACTCAATTACATCAGAACTTGTGAGGTTTCCTGAGAGATTTTTAACCCTTTAACCAATTTTACAATCTGTGAGTTATACTTCTAAATAAAAGAGTGAAAATATTTCTGTCTGGAAGAAAACTGCTTGGTCTAACAACAGGGAAATATCAGGCAGAGAAGGATGCAACCAAAAAGTAAGCAGTGTGATCATGATCTTGGGAACATCCTGCTGAAATCTGACCTTCAGTTTACCTTTTGGCTAAGGTGGGTGTAACAGCAGTCTCTTGAAAAGGAAAGAAATGTAAACTGAAGTCTGTGCATCTGCTCAAGTTCTGGCCCTATTCAAAAAGAGAAGAAATAATTGCTGTGGCTTGTAAAATTTTTTCCAATCCTTGAAAGCAAAGTCTAATGTCTAAAGAAAACACCTAAATTCTTCACTGCCTCTCTTTTTTGTGCACGCATGCACTTTACAAGGTTTACAGGTGGAGCAGAATATATGAAGCAGCATAATTATTTTTATTTCTGCAGCCATTCGGTCTCTTCTGAGATAAATTAGGCCACTATATAATCATCAGCTTCAGCATATGCATTGTTCAGCATGTTTCCAGTAGAACCTGTTTTTTTTTGTTCTGTTTTTGGTTTTTATATTTTTGTATGTGTGTGTTTGCTTGTACCTTTGTTTTTGTTTTGTTTGCATTTTCTTAGTACAGGAGAAACTCAAAATGAACTTAAGCACAGCACTTGCAAGGAATACTTTTTGAATGCACCTCACAGTGAGGGTGAAGGATGTCAAATAAATAGAAATGAGTCTTGATTTTACTGCAAACTAGAGTTTTGAAAACATCATTTCACCCATTTAAATTAAATACCCAAGGAATATGCAAATCAAGTTCTATTTGTGTGTATCAAATTTATCAGTCCAATGTGCACTTTATCATTTCTCTATAGCAAGAAGAGAACTGCAACACAAGCAAAGGTCTCAGAAACAGGTGAATCAATGCACTGGTATACATAAAACAAATTTAGGTTCGAGATTCTTTATCTAATTTATGCAAGCTTTTAAAAGGGATGAACATTAGTCATGGCAGTTTCAGGATTCACTTTAATACATATTTGATGAGCTTTGAAAATTCAGAAATTCTCTTTTATTTAGGCTTTTCTAAATACTAAAGCAGAATCAACCTTGGATTTAAAGGAATATTAGCTCTCTCCTCACATATTCTGTCTAGTCTTGTGAGAGCTGCCCATTGTATCCAGATACAACAGTTTCTTTAGCAGTGCTGAATCTTAGACACTAAAGACAGCCTCTCCTCAATGGGAGTTACTACAAGGGGAAAAAGAAATTTTCAGTGCGTCAGAGAGGAGACAATCTAATCCTCTTTGCTGGTACATCTGCTCTGGCAGTTTTGCTCTACAAATCAAAAGGCATTCCATTAATTAAAGTTCCTTTTTCTTTCATTTTTGTTCAGCTTCAGAAATGTGACCAGTATTTCAAAAGAAAAAGAAAAAAAAGACTTTCAGCCCACTTTAGTCACAAATAACCATCATCAAAATGTATACACTTTTTTCTATTTTCTTTCCCTTATTCTTTCTTTCTTTCTGTCCCTTTTTTTTTCCCTTTTCCCTTTTCTTTCCCTTTTCTTTCTTCCTTTCTTCCTTTCTTCCTTTTTTTCTTTCCCTTTCTTTTTCTTTTTTCCCTTTCTCACTCACTTCTTCTTTCATTCTTTCCTTACTTTCTCCTTTTGTAGAGAACCTTTTTTTTTTTTTTTTTTTGGCAAAGTACATTACATTCAGAGAGTTTTACAAAACAAAGCTTTCAGTTCTTGGTCAGCAACAAACTCATCTTTGTTCATGCAGCTCTATTAAGGAAAGAAGGCCAATTTTACGCAGGTTTCTATGGTCTACAGCACAAAGGCATCTATCTGCATGCAAGCTATCTGGCAGGCACACAGCAGACTGTGAGATCATCCATTTTAGCAATCACCAGCTGCAATGAGGAACTGTAAAAAATTATAAACTGGTTTATATAGTGTTTTTATTGTTCCAAAGAGGCGGTACTACAGATTTGTGCATTGTTTTGTGGACAGATAACAAGTGCAGCTAATGGGGTTCATATCTAGATCTGCTTTGCATTTTGCCCAGTGAGTATTGCTCTGTTTTGATTGGATACTAATGTCATCTGTCTTAAGCAGGAAGTGATGCTCGACTGCTTTATCCCTGGGGTTTCAACTGTTGTCTAAGGAATTCTGGTCCTTTATTTGATGGACTTTTACTGTGCCTTTGCAAGCATGCACTATTATTCCACAGTGGGTGGCCAACTATTTAGCACTTGCCAGTTGCATCATAGACTGCCCGTAAAGACCATGTACTGTAATTTCACAGCATGAAGAAAATGAGAATATTTTAGATGTTCCTGAAAGAGGAGGAAGAATTTATGAGAAGAAAACTTGGACTGAATCAGCGGAGATTTTATCTTAAAGGAGGAAAAAATGAGCACATTACTGATTTAACAACTCTATAGAATTTCAGAGGGTAACACAGGGAAGTCCAGCTCTTGCTTCTTTTACTGTTGGGCAATTCTAGGCAGCATGCATAAACTGAAGCACAGTGGACAGAACCCCTTTCAATCCAGTTCAGTTTGAATGGAATCTGTAGTGCAGATTGACAATGCAAATAAAGGGTCTGGGCCACATTTAGGTGTGGAGTCAAGTTGAATGGGTTGCTATATATCAGCATCCACTGGGAGGAACAAACATGAGTAGAGAAAGAGTTGACTAGAAAATGTTTTCCTGCAAGGCAGCATTCTGGTTACATACCATGACCATCTTACGAACAAACGAGCATGATACGGGTAGTAAAGCATTTTGGGAAATTGCATTACGTCAACTTGTGCAAGAAAAAAAATGCCTTTAGCTTGCTTTTATTGTTTGATTGCAAGGAAGCTGATGTCTCACTGAAGGAAAGAGTCTCAGGATTAATGCACTGTGCAGTAAAATTATCACTTCCCTAAATTCAAAGATTAAGAATACTTTCCCCATGTTAGAGACTTTCTCATGACTCTATTAATGCAATTCTAAAATCTCAAACTAAACTAAAAAAATTTCTGAAAATGGGTTTTCTTGGAAAACTATTATGATTTCTCATGCATAAAAGCATATTTCCCTGTAATTTGTCTATATTGT